TGAAAATATTTCATTCATACTCTACGCAGCCTTGATAGCCTCTCGGGATGTTTTGTGCTTGGGACTCATGGCTTGGGCCAGTGGTTCTACGGTTTTCATCCTGTACAGTCACAGGCAACGGGTCCAACACATCCATAGGAATAATCCAGCCACACAAATCTCCCCTGAGACCAGAGCTACCCAAAGCATAATTATTCTGGTGGTCACTTTTGTGCCCTTTTATGCCCTCTCCTGCACTATTTATGCTTATTTGGCTATTTCTTGTGATGGCAGTGGGTTGCTGATAAATATTTCTGCCATAATCACTGCGTGTTTCCCAACAGTCAGTCCTTTTATTCTCATGACCAGTGATCCCCGTGTCTTGAGACTTTGCTGTGTCTGCTCTCGAAGGGATGCTCAACTTCCCTCTCTTAGCAGAAAAATATAACCCATACGTTTTATAGCAGATGGGACCATTGATGAACTCATACTTCACAGACTCTTAAGAACAAAGGATAAGGCAGGTTCCTAGCAGGGAGAGTGGTCAACAAGACAGATTGAGATTTGGCTCCAGTGATAAACACTAAATAACAATAAAAACCAAATTGAATTCATTGTCATCAAGTCGATTTTGACTCATGGCAATCCTTTATGTGGTTTCCAGGGTTGTGAATCAGAACAAGAGGGGAATACTAATCCTGTGGAGCAGCTGGTGGATTTGAAGCACTGGTGTCATATGGCCCTTTCGGTTGACAGTACAACACACTATGAATCACTCACCAGAGCTACTTCAGTGATCAGAGTAAATGGAATTTGATGTCATTCTTATGGAAGTACTTATACGTCTCTATTTTGACTCCTTGCAATAAATATTTTCCTTTTTTAAAAAAAAATACATTCTTCTTTTGGGATAATGTTAGATTTTTCAGAAAAGTTGCAGAACTCACACATCCCAAAGCCCAATTCTCCCTGATGTTCCTAACTTATAATACTATGGTTGTTATTTTTGTTGTTAGGTGCTGTTGCGTACAACTCATAGTTAGTGACCCTATGGACAACAGATCTGAACCCTGTCCTATCCTGTGCCATCTTCACACTCTCTGACATATTAGAGCCCATTACAGCTTTCACTGTGTTAAGCCACCTGGCCAAGGATCTTCCTCTCATTCCATAACCTTCTACCTTTCTGAATATCATGTCCCTCCATAGGAATAGCCTCTTGTTCAAGTCAATTACAATCCAGTGGGCGGGCTTTTGTGATTAAAAGTCTGTTGGGGCCTGCCTAAGAGCCTCTTTTTTGAAGCAGTTGCATTCTGTAAAGTAGGCTGTTTTTATTCAATTAATTAGGTGTAAGTTGTTTGGTCATTTTTATTTAATTAGCAAACAAGCTAAGCTGTTTTGTCATTTTTATTAACAATCAGTTGTGAGCCAAAATCTTCTTGTTTAAACCAATTAGGACCTGATGGGTTGGCCTTTGTGATTAAAAATCGGTTGGTGTTAAACTAAACTGGTAGTTTGTTGTGTTTGGAGAAGACATTATTGTTCTAATTGGTTCAGCACTTGTCTGTCAGTCAGTCAGTTTGCTGTACCGAGGTAACTTGTGGGTTGCTATGTTACTGGTGTGTCAAATGCTGTAAGGGTTACCAATGGTGGACAGGTTAAGACAGACTAGAAAGCAGAATTGGCCATCTACATCTTAAACAACAAGTCTCTGAAAACCCTAGGAACATTAGAGGAATACCATGGTACATTTGTCAAAGTAAGATCTCAGCACTGTTTCATTGCTATTAGCTCATACAGACCTCCCTTTCCATCTCATCAGTTTGACCATCAGTGTCTTCTGGGTCTCTTGGGATGCATCCAGGATACACTACACCTTGTCATCACATTCTCCCCATTCTCCTCTGCTCTGTGACAGTTGCTAAGTCTTGTTTCTCTTCAATGGGTTTCTCAAGTACTAATCAAGTACTTTTCAGAATTTTCTAAACTGAGGCAAGTTTGATGTTTACTTGTATACAGGTTTTTGTTTTGTAGACTAAGTCGGTGTTGTTGCTCTTGTGGGCCATCAAATCAGAACCAACCCAAGTTTAAGTTTTTAGAAGAATATTGCTTGCAATTAACATAACTACTACTGATAACTTGATGACAGTTAACATTTGCCAGGTTTCTCAGCTGTTAAGGTGTTAGGTAATTTCTACACTCCAATCATTGAAGGACATCAGGAACTTTAGCTCAGTTGGGAAGAGGGCTGGTTGTAGCTAAATTACATGTCACCTTCACATATAGAATTGCTACTTCTATTATGATCTTCTTCCCATTAACTCAATTTTTCATGTTGGTAAGGATTCTTGTATACTTGATACTTTCTGCTTTAACAAAATACCATTTATTTTGTAATTGGAACTTTTCCCAGGTTATATCCACTGGGAAATCTTTCAAGGATATCCTGTGTCCCTTAGATATGTCCTCTAAACTTTATTTTTTTTGTCTTATAGATTTATTGTCAAAGGACAAAACACTTAGACAATTTAAATACAAGTTGAACAGAATTACTCCATCCAAGTGGGCAATGATGCTAACAGGCCTTCTCACTTCTAGACGCTCGCCAGAGTCATTGGAGTCTTCTCTCAGGGAAGAGATGTGGCCTTATATTCTATTCATACACACCCTTCTTATCTGCAATGTAATCTACAATTTCTTGTGGACACATTAATTTTTCTGCATCTATATCAGGAATTTCAAACCCAAATTCATCCTCCATGGCCATGATAATCTCCACTTGGTCCAAACTGTCTAAGCCCAGGTCTTTCATAAACTTTTGGGGTTTGAATACTTAGTGAAACTTACAGTCAGAACTCTAGTAAGTTTCCCTATCTTTCAAGTTTTGAGGTGGTCTTGGTTTTCTGTTGTTCTGTGTCATCAAGTCAGAGGTGAGGCATAGCTGACCGTCCAGTGGATTTTTCATAGGCTGTAAATTCATGTGGGAAAGACTCCCCATCGTTCTCCTGCTGTGTTTATCTAGTGTTCGTATAATAGTTCTCGCACAAGTGAGTGGCTTTAACAGAAACCTATTCTCTTGAAGTTTAGGCAGCTAGAGTCTAAATAAGGGTACTGGCTCTGGGAAGTTATTATTCATTCTGGAGGAAAATCCTTGTTTGTTTCCAACATCTGCAGGCCTAGCATTCCTTGGAGGACTCCATAGGTCTTTACCGTCCCGTGTTGTTTCCCAACACAGGAACCTACGTTCAAATGATGGGCTCCACTCCCTCTTCTGTCTTGGTGGTACTGAAGTCCCTCCACTCAGCTTGAATTCTCCCCTTTTATTTCTTATAAGACAAAAAGTATCACAGGCCATGCCCCTGGAAATTCCCCTTACTTCAGATCAGGGTTCTGATCTGGGTAGGATTAAAGATATCACATCCCAGCGTAAATTCTCTTAAAATGGTTTGTCTTACAAGAGCACATTCGCATCAAATCAATACACACATGCATTTTAGGTGAGAGAAAATCCAATCCAGGGAAGGTGGACCACACAGTCTTGACACTTTTCTATTACTATTAGCGGAAGTATTTTACTGTTTCCTCTGTAACAGGACTTGATTAAACCTTACACAGGTTCTGGCATTTACTGTGTTAGACAAAATTTTAGAAACTGTTATCTGGATGCTCACCTGCTCACTGAAGTGGAAGTGTCACTGCTGCCAGGTCATTTAAGTAGGCAGAGCTAAGAAATATGTTTACAAACATATCTATACTTCTGTATCTACCCATTTGTGGTAGGTGTGAGTTCATCCTAATGGCCTCATCCCATCCTGAAGAGCTGTTAGCCTTCTCACTTTAGTATTTGTATTTACCAAGTATTAAGGGAGCTTTGGTGGCAGTCTATAGCAAGGTGGACTGCTGACCAAAGGTTGCACCATGTATGACAGTTCTAATCACTTGCAGCTCTGAGGGAGAAAGGTGAGAAGTCTCTTGTTGGCATTTAGTCTCCGAAACCCAGAAGAGGGTCAGCGTAGGTAGGAATCAACTCGATGCCATGAGTAAGTGAATGAGAAAGTATTATGTTATTGAAAGCTTTGAAAAGGCTGTACAGGCTTTAAAGTATCCTTTGCAACTTCTGTTGGGCAAAGATTAATTAGATACACTTTGAGAAAACAAAGTAATGTGATGACTTTGCTCTTTTTAAATTCCACTTGGCAGGATAAAATTCTCTAAGAGTTATGAATGCTCTGGTTATTACACAATACTGTTGCTAGTTTCCTTTGAACTGACTCCAAAATAATAGAAGCAAACTTTGTCTGTTCTGTGCCATATAATGGACCACAGTTAGTAACATGTTCATGTTGTGTTTACCTTCAACCCCCTTCTCCCCATGACAAACTCAATCTCAATGTTCAACAGGCAATAGAAGGCATTCCCTCATTCTTTCAAATGAGTTCAGGGTTTCTATCTCTACAAGGGTTATTGCCTGTTACCTTTTCTCACTTCTGTGACAATGAGCTTGAGTTAACAGCATCACTAGTCTCAGGCTTGGTGGGTATCTACATTTGTGACTGACTTTCTCTGATGAGTCATGATATGGACCAGTATTTCTATTTTTCATCATTGTACCATCTAAGAAGTTTTGTAAAAATCATAGTCCCACTTGAGATGTAAAATTTTAGATGTAATGAATAAATAATTTCAATGATACAATTTTCAGAATGTCTCAAATATTTATGCTTCAAAATATTCTACATCACACAGAAGAGACACTTGGAT